GGAAAGACAGTCTCTTGTGCCCTCCTTGCCCTAACCCACTCTCCCCATCAACACAAAACAGGGAACCCCTATGCTGAGGCCTCTGGAGCCCAAGGCACAGTTTGGGGATGCCCAGGGCCTGGTATCAAGAGTGGAGAGACCCTTGGTCAGGGATCTGTGGAACTGGGTCTGACATACCATTAGGAGGGCACACTTGTTCTCACTGTGAGCACCGTAGCAGCCCAGGAAACCGAGAGCAAAGAGCACAGCACCAGCTGCGATGAGGAAGTAGCCCACGTTGACAAACTGCAAGGCACTGGATGAGAGCGGCCCGAAGATCTTCAGGAAGGACGGTCCATCCACGGAGACCCAGATGCCCACTCCCAGCAGGGCCGCGCCACACAGCTGGGGACAGAGAGGTCGGGCAGGCCTTGAAACAGTGCAGGCAAGGAGCTCACTACCACTCAGTTGAGTCAGGGGGATGGGAGCTGAGAAACTTCCCTCTTTATTGGTTAGGGAGTTTAAAAATTCATCCTGTATGGGCCAGCCAGTGGTGGAGTGGTTAAGGCAGCTGGATTTCACATGGTCAACTTCAGGGTTCGAGTTCCGGACCTAGTGGCTTAAAAAAAACATGCTGGCACTTGTGTGTATCTGCCCAAAGTCCCAAGAAGAGAATGGAAAAGAAAGAATTGTGGCATAGCCATCTTCCCTGGGGAGTGATTTCTCACTTCCCCTGTTTCTCTTTCTGGACAGCACATATCCCTAAAACGAGCTGGGGGTGGATTGCAATTGTGCTGTGAAGCCTCCCGTTGGGTGTCTCTCTCTCTCTCAGAAAAAAATAAATTAATTAAAACCAAAATAAAACAGACAGGTGAAGTCCCAGGTCTTTATTTCCTTCTGGGCTGTGGGTGCCCAGAACACCTCTGTCTGATAGGTGTTCCACTCTGATAGGTGGAAACAGAGGTGGTAGCTTTGAGCAAGCTCAACAGTCACCATAGTAACAGAGGCGGGACTGAGGTTTACACCTGCTCCCAACCTTGAAGAGGGTGGAGGTTGAGAAGGTTTAGCCACCCTGAGGCAACACTGGATTCCTTTCCGGGATCAGACTCTAAGCCTTCTCCTTATCTAGCCTAGACCTGCCTTGCCTCACAAATGGAAACTGAGGCATCAGAGCGGGAGTATAGCCAAAACTTTTCTGAAAGGCTCCCACTGAACTCCAGTCTCAGAGGGAGTCGTAAGGCCCAGTTTAGGGGTGGGCACCTGCCCAGTGTCCACAGCTCCTAACACAAAGTCTTATTGACCCAGGGCTTCGCTGAGTGAATCAGCCTGATACCACCTTGGTGCCTGGTCCCCGTTTTCCAGCCGGAGACACTGAGGCTAGATCCAGGAGTGAGGTGGCAGTCTGTGGCTGGATCCCAAGCTTGTTTGCCCACGTACGGAACACTGGGCTCTTAGCCTGCAGGGTCAAATTTCAAGGAGCCCGAGGTCTGCTCTATCCTGCTTTGCCTGCCCTGGCAAGACCGGAGCAACAGAGGTCACAAAACAAACTGGATTTGCCTTTAACTCCCGCAGGCCAGAATCTCTGCTCTCCAAATTCCTGGAATCCTATTGCCTCCTCCAGAAATATATGAGGTCATTGGGAAAGTCATGATGCATTTTTTGCATAGAAAAACACAAAAATATGTCATGACTTTCCTGATGATAAAATAGATAAAAGGTAGTTCCCCACAGTCGAAGGACACCCAAGCCACGGAGTATATCAGCGTCAGAGTCCACCCACCTCCAACCAAGTTTTCCAAACTAGTCTCCACTTCCACCCACCTTGTTATTTTGTTTGCCAGAGGGCCCAGAACTAGCTAGAGAGATGGGGAGTGGAGAACTCCCCTCCACCCAGTGTGATGTGGTCACACTGCAATCCCTTCTCCTCCACTTCTCCATTGTGATTTGAGACACACCCTACATGCACCTGGTGTGTTCCTCAAGCTGGAATCTGAACCATGATTGGCCATATAGGAATAGGCTCTCATAACCACTAGGCCAGGGGGCCAGCCCCACCCACCTTTTACTCACTCTAACCTGTAAGAAAATAGTCTAAGTGATTCATTTTCAAGAATAGCTTGACAGAAGTCGTGTAACCAGCTTGCAGATGTGATAAACTCAGGAAGTGCACATTTCCAAAAAGTCCCTAAACAAACAAAACCCAGAAGCAATAGGCCACCCTTGAGAAATGACTTCTCAGGATCGTGGCTGGTCACCAGCCCTTTGTCCCTTTTTACTTCCGGGTTTTTCTCCCTCCTCAGAATATTTGGCAGGCCTTTTTCAGGGGTTTCCTACACCTTTCTGTCAGACGAGAGAAGGAAGGGGACAACAAATGTCAGTAAATAATGAAACGGAGCCAATGCCCGGGAAGATTGTACATCCCATAGTACTCAGTCCATGAGGAACTGGAGAAGGGACTTGTGCTCTAGGAAATAAATTTGGTTGTTGTAACCATTCTGGGTGTGCCTGACCATTAGATACCCAATCTTGCAAGACTTCGCTGTACCTCGTGTTTCTGTGTCCATTGGTTGGCCTTGGACGGGGAGTGCGTTTCTCACATAACCCACTCTCATGTGACTCCAAGGGCTCCTGTGACGTCTTGTGCTAAGTCCAGTGGCCGTGCCATGGCCATATTCTCATTGACCTCTCCAATATCTTGCTCTCCTTGTGTTCCTTCCTCTATTGTTTCCTCTCCATCTCGTTCACAATGACTGCTTCTTTGCTTATCCCTAAGTTGGGCTTCCCAGAGTTCATGTTCCCTGAGTGCTCTCACCCAGTCCCTTGGCTTCAGTGACCACCTAAGCACATATGACTTCAAGTATCTTTGGCCAGCGTCAGACTGAGCCGGTACACGGCTACCTACAGGACACACTTCTCTCCTCCCGCCCTGGGCATCATCATGGCAGAGCTATGGCCATCATCTCCAAGATCTCTGTCTCCTTGCTCCTTCTTCCAACCCTCAATCACCATCCCAGGCTTTGTCCTCAGTTCATTTTGTCCATTTTTCCTTATCTCCTCCACCATCTCCAGGGTTTACAACTCATGAATCAACTCTTCGAACATGCCCTTCCTGGATTTCTGAACCATACTGAGTTTTATTACTGGGCCTTTATGCAGACTTTACAACTTCCCCACCCAGTGCAAATTCTCAGCATTTTCTTTTATTTTATTTTTTGCCAAAGGATGTAAGTGCATGCTTACAGAAGGCAGAAAGACAGAGAGAGAGAGTGAGCGAGAGAGAGAGAGAGCAAGAAAGCATCTCCCATAGAGCATGGTCATGCTACAATCTCTTCTCCATTTCCTCCTTTCAGGAACTTGGGCATGTATGCACACATACCTGTCATGTTTTTCAAGCTACCAAGTCTGGGATTCGAACCACACAGTCATGTGGGATCCAGCTGCCTTAACCACCAGGCCACAGGCTCTGCTTTCACTATTTTCTCCAGGAAGTATTCTCCAGCTGAGCTAGATTCAAGCCTTACCGATGGTCTTCTATACCTCCCGTGCTAAGCCTGCACATATTACCTTGCAACTGTGTGACTGGCTGGTTGACTGAACCTGAGATCCTCAAGGCAGGGAAAGGTCTCGTTAGCTGGCACCCCAGCACCTAGCATACAGTCTTAGGCAGTGGAAGTTTGTTGAATGAATAAGGGTTGCTTGAGGTGGACCCTTTACTCTGATGAGCCATGGATCTCTTCTCTTCTCAGCTCCTCATAACATGGAGGCCGCTGAAATTCCTTCTGCACTTAGTTGAAATCTTTTCCCTCTCTGGACCCTCAGTGCCTAGAGAAAGGGGAGGATCATCCCTGCTAGCCAATGCTACCCCGCCTT